CTCTCTCTCTCTCCTCGCTGTCCCTCTCCTCTCTCTCCTGGCTGTCTATCCTCTCTCTCTCTCCTGGCTGTCTCTCTCCTCTCTCTCTCTCTCTCCTGGCTTTCTTTCCTCTCTCTCTCTCTCCTGGCTGTCTCTCCTTACTCATCCTCCTGGCTGTCTTTCCTCGTTTTCTCTCCTGGCTGTCTCTCCTCTCTCTCTCTCCTGGCTAGCTCTCCTCTTTCTCTCTCCTTACTCATCCTCCTGGCTGTCTTTCCTCGCTCTCTCTTTCCTGACTGTCTCTCCTTACTCATCCTCCTGGCTGTCTTTCCTCGCTCTCTCTCTCCTGGCTGTCTCTCCTTACTCATCCTCCTGGCTGTCTCCCCTCGCTCTCTCTCTCCTGGCTGTCTTTCCTCGCTCTCTCTCTCCTGGCTGTCTCTCCTTGCTCATCCTCCTGGCTGTCTTTCCTCGTTTTCTCTCCTGGCTGTCTTTCCTCGCTCTCTCTCTCCTGCCTGTCATTCCTCGTTTTCTCTCTTGGCTGTCTCTCTTTGCTCACTCCCCTGGCTCACCTTGCTGTGTAAACTAATATTCTCTGATGTAATACATGGCACTACAACCCCCAGTATCCACCAGAAAGGTGTCGGGGAGCTCGGCTCAGCAGTCTCGGGCTAATAGGTAATCATGTGTGCACAGCTAAAAAAATATACCAACATGGAATAAAGGGGCCGCCCTCCCCCCCCTTCCTGATCTACCAGCATCAGCTCTGAGAGCTCCTCATAGATCACCATCTACATAATGGGCCCCCCTGTTCTAGAGCAAGGTTAGACAACATTGGCACTCCAGTCCTGGTGACACCCTGTGTGTCCTGGTGGGACAAGGTGTCATCAGGGTAGGAAATGAGGGGAAATCACCCCATGGAGGACACACGACAATAATGACCTGACCTGACCCTACTCTATAAAGATGACAGAAACAATGGAGTTGAGTTTAAAAGTATTATTATCATTATTTGAAATTATTTAAATGATAACATGAGAGCTGGACCTACCGGACAGATAGTAACAGTCCTCGTCCTTCTTATTCCACACCAGGAATGATCCGGTCTCGTTCTGCTCCTGCATAAGGTAGCGCTTGGCATCCATCTTTGTTACCAGATCCAAATACCAGCTGTGAATAGCAACAGTGCACATAATGTTAGAGCATAGCCCATATAGAATCTCTACTTTACCAGCCGGTCCTAGGAGTATGGGCAGACTGGAAGGAGCAGATACATTTTGGGGGTATGGGCAGGCTAGAAGAACCAAATGAATCCCAGGGGTATAGGGAAGCATAGAACCAGGTAAATCCTAGGGGTATGGGCAGGCTAGAAGGACCAGATACATCCTAGGGGTATGGGCAGGCTAGAAGAACCAGGTAAATCCTAGGGGTATGGGCAGGCTAGAAGGACCAGATACATCCTAGGGGTATTGGGAAGGTCAGATCACTGGATAGATTGACTAAGTAAGGTTACACTTCACCAGTGATAACATTTGTGATTTCTTCAGATACAAGAGGCATCCATAACTGACATAAGAAGGAAAATTATCAGTCTTTCTATCTATCTATCTATCTATATCAGTCTATCTATTTATCTATCTCTCTCTCTCTCTCTCTATCTATCTATATCAGTCTATCTATCTATCTATCTATCTATCTATCTATCCATCTAATCTTTGAAATGTATCCACTCATCTCTCTCTTTCCACTCTCCATCCATATCCATCTATCTTTTTATGTCTTTTTCACCATGCAGAGTGTGCAGCATTGTGTGTACATGAATAGAGGAGGGGCGCTGGGGAGGATCAGGTCCCTAAGTCTATGCACACTCTTGCGAGGCCCCCCGGGGCTGTGGGGGCATGAATAGAGGAGGGTGAAGGCTGGGGAGGTCCAGGTCCCTGGGGCTGTAAGGACATGGATAGAGGAGGGTGAAGGCTGGGGAGGTCCAGGTCCCTGGGGCTGTAAGGACATGGATAGAGGAGGGTGAAGGCTGGGGAGGTCCAGGTCCCTGGGGCTGTGAGGACATGGATAGAGGAGGGTGAAGGCTGGGGAGGTCCAGGTCCCTGGGGCTGTGAGGACATGAATAGAGGAGGGTGAAGGCTGGGGAGGTCCAGGTCCCTGGGGCTGTGAGGACATGAATAGAAGATGGTGGGAGTCTGGAGAGATCCAGGTCCCTAGGGCTGTGATGACATGAATGGAGGAAGGTGAAGGCGGGGCAGGTCCAGGTCCCTGGGGCTGTAAGGACAAGGATAGAGGAGGGTGAAGGCTGAGGAGGTCCAGGTCCTTGGGGCTGTAAGGACAAGGATAGAGGAGGGTGAAGGCTGAGGAGGTCCAGGTCCTTGGGGCTGTAAGGACAAGGATAGAGGAGGGTGAAGGCTGAGGAGGTCCAGGTCCTTGGGGCTGTAAGGACAAGGATAGAGGAGGGTGAAGGCTGAGGAGGTCCAGGTCCTTGGGGCTGTAAGGACAAGGATAGAGGAGGGTGAAGGCTGAGGAGGTCCAGGTCCTTGGGGCTGTAAGGACAAGGATAGAGGAGGGTGAAGGCTGAGGAGGTCCAGGTCCTTGGGGCTGTAAGGACAAGGATAGAGGAGGGTGAAGGCTGAGGAGGTCCAGGTCCTTGGGGCTGTAAGGACAAGGATAGAGGAGGGTGAAGGCTGAGGAGGTCCAGGTCCTTGGGGCTGTAAGGACAAGGATAGAGGAGGGTGGACGCTGGGGAGGTCCAGGTACCTGGGGCTGTAAGGACATGGATAGAGAAGGGTGAAGGCTGAGGAGGTCCAGGTCCTTGGGGCTGTAAGGACATGGATAGAGGAGGGTGAAGGCTGAGGAGGTCCAGGTACCTGGGGCTGTAAGGACATGGATAGAGGAGGGTGAAGGTTGAGGATGTCCAGGTCCCTGGGGCTCGGAGGACATGAATAGAGGAGGGTGAAGGCTGGGGACGTCCAGGTACCTGGGGCTGTGAGGACATGAATAGAGGAGGGTGGAGGCTGGGGACGTCCAGGTACCTGGGGCTGTAAGGACATGGATAGAGGAGGGTGGAGGCTGGGGAGGTCCAGGTACCTGGGGCTGTAAGGACATGGATAGAGGAGGGTGAAGGTTGAGGAGGCCCAGGTCCCTGGGGCTGTGAAGACATGCTTAGTGGAGGGTGAAGGTTGAGGATGTCCAGGTCCCTGGGGCTCGGAGGACATGAATAGAGGAGGGTGGAGGCTGGCGTGGCCAAGGTCTTTGGGGCTGCGGGGACATGAGTAGTGTCATGGAATTTATCTTTTCACCACAACAGGCACATGAAGGCTGATCAGCTGATTAGAGACTTCCATTTAAGTTTGTATAATATCACTGCAGCGAGAGGCACACACAGACACCGAGGTTTTGTTACAAGCTGTTCTACTTTATTGCTTTGCGCTGGAGGTTTTATCTCATACAATTGTTTACATAAACAGGAACATTAAAGGCAAAAGAGGAAATGAAGATGCAATTCAGAAGATCGGGAATATTATCGGACAGAATGTAGGAATGAGCGTATAATGTGACAGAGAGCAAAGGGAAGTTAGTGTGTCATAGAAGATCAGCGTGGAGTGCAAAGCATACATCATGGTTGGGATCTCTCTCTCTCTCTCTCTCTCTCTCTCTCCCCCCCTCTCTCTCTCTCTCTCTCTCTCTCTCTCTATATATGTAGAAGGATCAGATTCACAATTCCACCCTTGTGGACATTCCCATTGACCAGCCTGCCGTCACCTATAACCTGGGATCTCCTTACATTGAGCCGGAGGTATTCCCGGGCTCGGAGGAACACTCCAATGGGAAGAGGGTAATAGTTGAGAGCAGCTATGCCATGGTACAGAAGTGGGTGAGAGGGCAATACCTTCAGGGGGCCTCTATGTCCTCTCTATTAACTCTCCTAAGAATTATTTTGTTTGATTTGAGGTGGACATTCTATGGGTGTCGTACATGCATAGCCAGAATATCGAAAACGAAAACAAAATAAAAAATAATACCATGAAAATATAAATCCCTACTCTTCAGAGCCAACAGTTTACATTGAAAGGAGCAATTCCAAAGCTACCCAGAGCTTTGTCTATATTATCTGACACATATTTACAGACTTCCCCTCCTTGAGCTGCGGTGAGGTAATCTACGGCCAGTCTATCCTCTTCTCCCAGAGTTGGGCCATTTCAGCATTTAGAATGCCAATGTCTAGAAGTTGAAAGATTGATGGTCCCATCTAGACACTTGGTTCTCAACTGGTGGGTCGTGACCAAAAAGTGGGTTGCGACCCCGTGTTCAGTGGGTCAGCACATGCCTTCCACTTTTCTAGGTGAGAGGCTCTTCAGCCTCCCCCTAGCACTGCACTGTTAGTTCTCATGCCAAGCAGCCATTCAAAATATGCTGCCCGGTGCCAAGTGTCAGCTTGAGGTGGGATTGGATGGGGCTATGGCTGCGAGGGACCTATATTCATACGTGCATTGCTTACAGCTCCTTCACAAGTCCTGTAGACACGTCACATTATGGCTCCCGGCACCTCTACAGGGCACGCAAGGGAGCTGTACCAGCAATGCACATATGGATTCAGCTCCATCACAGCACAGCAGCCCACACTGGACACCAGGCTGAGGATCCACTACAGTTCTTGTAAGATAGGGCGATTGGGTGGATCTAAAAGAAAGAAAAAAAGGGTTCTCAGCCTTGGGAAGTACTTTTGGGTTTGTCAGTGTTGTACAAGATGCAAGTAAAACAAGAAGCAGTAAATATTGCCACAAAGCGGTGAACCTTGGCTCTATTGCTAGAGTAGCTATAACTGATGAGATGGTCCATGTGTCATGTGGGCCATATTGGGGAAATGTGGGGCTGGCAGACATTTGTCAGCACATTTCCATAATCCTGTTACATCTGGTGCAACCATTTGGTTCTGGACCACTTATTTTTGCTCTGGGGTGCTTGTTCCCATCTCTACTGGGCCAGAAGTGGAAGAATCTGTGAGCTGCACAGACCTTAGAAGCATCCTCAGCTATACGGCCACCTTGTTCACACTAGTACAGTGTCTGAATCATACAGTCCAGGTGGGGTGGGGTGGACTGGGGCTATGGCCGCGAAGGAGCTCCCTCTATATGTGCATTGCTTATAGCTCCCTCGCATGTTCTGTAGAGGTGCCTGGACTGGAGTGACATCACATTCTGGGGCTCCTGGCACCTCCACAGGCGCACATGTGAGCTGCACAAGCAATGCACATATGGATGGAGCTCCTTCACAGCACAGCAGCCCACACTGACGTTCGAGCCATTGCGGTGCGACTTGGGTCATGACTTAATGACCGAGGACAAATGTGGGTCCTGAGGTTACACAGGTTGAGAACCACTGGTCTAGAATATTGGTACAATTGTTTTAGTCCTTTCACGGCCTTTATACCCCAGCCAATCCATGAGGAAGACCATGTGCAGGCCATAGCTTGCGCTAAGAAAAGTTTCTACATGGAATCTAAAGTAAAATTGATCCCTCTGGGTATATGAGGTTCCCTTTAGTCCTTTTTAGACTGTGACAAGCAATTCAGCATTTGCATATAATACATTTGTGGTATGAATAATATGAATTTCTTGAGGGGGATCCCCAATGTAGGAGAATGAGGTTGCACTGGATACCCCCTCACTAGTAACCATTTCGATCACCATTTTAGCCATACTGCAATTGGTTTGACCTACACAAAGGCCTCTGGTAGTGGGGGTTCTGTACAGATACGAGGCACATCTCCGGCCGTCTTACCAGTTTATGAACATTCATGGAGAACGGTTTGTTAGCATTTTTTGACACATTACTTCCTCCTAATAACATTACACGGTAACCAAGTAAGTGGAACCCCTATTATGGGAATACTAGCTGCGTGAGGGTATAGATGTGAACTAACATTACTTCTGTCTGTATACAGTTTTAACATTCGAGTAAAGTGTTCCTGTAAGACGTCCTATGACATAAAAGGAAGGAATGCACAGAAAAAAAAAATGGCTTCCATTGTATCAGCTTCTTGCAATGGCTGACGTGTATCCAAAGTCTCTTTTCCCTCAAGTTTGACAGAGGTAGGTGTAATTAGCTGTACACGATATGGAGCGTCATATCTTGGGTCTAGACTTTTCCTGACATGTTCCTTT